CAAGCAAACTTTAGTTCCTTAATTCTTATAGCTGTATTTTTCACAGACTATTGTTGACTTGGTGAATTTACTTTCTCAATGTGCTTATACTTCTGTCTGTTGACTGGGAATTAGATGTCATAGATGGTGGTGGTGTTATACAAACATGACCTACATGTGCCATTTTGTGAAAAGACTGGAAAAAAACTTTTTTTTATTTTTTTTTTTTCCCCCCAGTCAATAACATGAAATTCAGTCTAAAGTAACAGATTTTTTTAAAAGGTACATATACTTACAGGTGATATGTTTTGGGGTTTTTCTATGTTTTCTAAAACGAGAATAAGNACATGAAATTCAGTCTAAAGTAACAGATTTTTTTAAAAGGTACATATACTTACAGGTGATATGTTTTGGGGTTTTTCTATGTTTTCTAAAACGAGGATAGGAGAAACTTAAGCTAATTGGCGTGGGGAAAAGAGAACAGTACGGTAATTGATGGGGCATCTCTCCTGTGAGGGAAGGCGGAGAGAACTGGGTTTCTTCAGCCTGATAAAAAAAGGCTTCAGGTTGACATCACCACAACCTTCCAGTACCTGAAAGGAGCCTGCAGTAAAGATGGAGAGGGACTATTTATGAGAGCATGTAATGACTGGACAAGGGGGAATGGCTTTGAACTGAAAGAAAGGAGGTTTAGAATAGATATTAAGAAGAAAAAAGTCTTTACTAGGATGGAAAGGTAGTGGAACAGGTTGTGGATGTCCCATCCCTGAAGATGTTTGAGGACAGGTTGGGTGGAACTCTGAGAAACCTGGTCTAGTGACAGGTGTCTCTGTCCATGGCAGAGGGGTTGGAACTAGATGAGTTTTCAGGTCCCTTCCAACCCAAGACATGCTTTGATTCTGTGATTTTAAGAATGTAAATGAAAAGACCTTTGTTGTAGTTCTGTTTTTTTTTTATGGGATGTTGGTAACTTAAGCTGATAGAGGCTAAAATAAATCCAATTTTGAGTGGTAGAAAATAAGGAATGTGCTTTTCAGTATGTTATGCAGGAAAGAGAATATGTTTTACTGTCCCACTTTGTGGGATATTACAGAAGATACTCCAGCAAACCAGCTAGTTATAAGTGAAGTAAACAGTACCTTCCTGAATCTTAAAGCGGATTGCGGTTATGTTTTTTTATGTTCAGTGACGAACAAGAAACCAGCTCAAGCATCTATAACGAAGGTGAAGCAATTTGAAGGCTCTACGTCCTTTGTCAGGAGAACGCAGTGGATGCTCGAGCAGCTTCGCCAGGTCAATGGTATAGACCCTAATCGGGTGAGTTTGAACAGTTCTAGAAAATGAACCTTGAGCTCTTAGGTAACTGATTTGTGAATCAGTTCTTTCACTATTCAAAAGGCATGTGGAAAGAAAAGATACAGATTTAAGTGTAAATTCTCAAGAAAGGAATAACTCAATGGCATATGTAAAGTCAATTTTAATGGGAAAGATGAGAGGAAGCTAAAACTCAGTCATACGGTTTTTTTTCTTCCTGTCTTTCCATACTTTTCTTCCTACTTTCTCTCTTCTTTGTAAAGAGAAAAGTAAGAGCCCTGTTTGCCTTTGCTTCAGCTATAAGCCTCCTGGAGTCTACTTGGGCATGGAGTTGTTTTGTGAGATAGAGCAATAGGTAGACATGAAGACAGAGGAGGTTCAAGTTTGTGAAATATTGTGAACCTTGCATTTTTTCCAGGACAGTCCTCTCCTCAGATACTTCTGCATTTCTTATCTTTTGCTACAAAGGGTGGTAGTGTGTCCTGTAGTTGCCAATGGCAAGTGAATGCTGATTTAAACAAAAAACTACCAAAAATAAAATAAAACAAACCAGTCCTACACTAAATAGTTTTGGAACTGTTCCTTTGATTTGGAATATACATCCCACTTTAAACTGTCTCAAGACAAAGTCATGTTAGTATGTAATAGGCTTATGAATACAATTCTCCAGGAGTAAAACAACATAAGTACAAGTTAGAAATGTGGCTCATCAATGTGTGATCACAAAGTGACTTACCGTGTTCCTTGTAGAGCAAAATGTTTTTGTGACTAACTCCCTTGGTTTCTTCAAAGCTGTGCTCTGATCAGCCACCTAAGCATCTTAACCATGCTGCACCAAATTCTGTTACTACCCAGTACAGTCTTTTGTACAAAAAAAAGAAGGCCCTTGACCACTGCCTTATGAAATGCAAGGAGTGGAATTATATTTTCTCTGGGTAAAGGGACTATGAAAATGAGAGCAATGAGAAATAAATAAGGGAAATGAATTTTAGACCCTTTTACAGTGTCTACCGTGCAGCTATGTACATAATGGATTATAAGTCCTATCAAGTTAAGCTTAGAAATGTTTCTTTCAAACTTGTCTACCTGTGAATTCCTGGTGTCATCAATTAAAAAAGAATATTTACTAGATTAGATTGCAAAACGATGTTTAGCAATTATTGCTTAATATATAGCACTACTTCTTCCATAAAATCCATTTATTTTGGCGGTTGATGCATGGTATAGAGCAGCGCTTTGATTTGTTCTAGGAATGGTCTTCTGTTCACATTATCCTGAGACCTTTATGATAATGCATCAAATACAGTAACTAAGACTTGTTATTTGCTTAGTTTATTTGTTGGTGGAGCATTGAGAGCAGAACCACATCTTCTATAATAGTGTGAAAGTAGATTTTGTGTTGAGAGGCATAAATAGAATAGAATGCACAGGTAACTATATATCTGTAGATAACAAGGGTTTCTTATGAGATTTTTACTTTGATTTTTTTTCATCTAAAGTATTTTTGTTTTCAGGTATTTTTGTCATAGCTGAGTATTCCTCATTAAAAATAACAGCAAGAAAAAAAACTTACTTCCTGTTTGTGTGGTTTTCATCTACAAAAATATGGAATAATACCAGGATGGTTTTGATTTGCATGACCTGTCTGCTTTATCCAACAAAATATATTTTAAAAAGCAATGACTCCATATCTTTCTCCAAATCATTTATAAAACTGGAATGATAGCAGTGTGGTTTTTTTTTTTTTCTTCTAGGATTCCCCAGAATTTGATTTATTATTTGAAAATGCTTTTGACCAATGGGTAGCAAGCACAGCTTCAGAAAAATGCACATTCTTTCAGGTTCTACATCACACTTGTCAGCGATACCTTACAGATAAGAAGCCAGAATTTATCAACTGCCAATCTAAAATTATGGGAGGTAAGTCAGCTGAAGCTGGAATACTTTGTACAGATGGACATGAAATGATTTGCATGTGATTTTTTCTGTGTTCAAATAAGCTTGTAGCCTAATGTCATCTTGAAATCATAGGTCTGAATATGCTAACTTAGCACTAAACTTCTAGGCTTTAGCATTTCTCCATCAAGCATCACTTTGCACTTTTCCATTATCTTTGCTTTCCTGGTTTTCAGTTTTAGAGGCAGCATCCCCTGCCCACCTTGTGAGAAGTTGTTTGCCTCCCTCTTTTTAAGCAACCTTGATTTTGATTTCTCTCTGCTTTTGTTCATCCAGAAACATTTTTGGGTGGCCTGAAACATCTACTAAAAGCCTCTTCTGCATTACTGGTTCCTCACAGGTTGTGAAAAAGTGCTTATTACTAAACTTCTTATGGGTGTTTTGGAATTTACTTTCATCTTGACAGAAATCATTCAGTTTAGAGTTTTATTACCTTTGTGTACTGGTTTCAACTAGAATAGATTTCTTCTCAGTAGCTGTTACACTGCTGTGTTTTGCATTTGGAATGAGAACAGTGTTGATAACATGCTGATGTTTTGCTGTTTGCTAAGTTGTGTTTATTCTAAGTCAAGGACTTTTTTTTCTTGTCTCATGCTCTGCCAATGAGGAGGTATGCAAGAGCTGTGAGGGAGCACGCCTGGGACAGGTGCCCCAAACTGACCATAGGGATATTCCATACCATAGAACATCATGCCCAGTATATAAACCAGGGGGAGTTGCCTGGAAGGGGGTCAGTCTAGGTTTGGGAAGTGGAGTCTGGCGTTGGTCAGCAGCTGGTGAGCGATTGCATTGTGCATCATGTTTGATTGTTTTTTTTCTTTCCCTTTTTATTTTCATTATTATTATTATTTACCGTTATTGCTATATTTTACTTTTCTTTTGATTACTCAACCTACATCTTTTTACTTTGATTCTCCTCCCCATTCTACTGGGGTGGCAGAGAGAGAGAAGAGTTGAGCGAGTGGCTGCACGGTGCTTAATTTCCAGTTGGACTTAAACCACAACAGTTTCTTAAGTCAAGCTGTGTTCTCAGGTATATGTTCTTTGATTTGCTTAGCTACAGTTGGACCTTACTTTCTCCAGCGAGGAGGAATTTGAGATCAACAACACATTTCACTGTATTTTCCATAAAAAGCCACTTGATATTGCACGTTTTGAACTAAATGGGTTTTGAGTTGGCTCAGTGAAGCTGACACACAGCAAGTGACTGAAATTTAGGATCAACTATTACTTGGTTTACAGTTGTTACAGTTTCTGTCAAATTTAAACCTACCCACAGAGAGTGTAATTCCCAGTGTGAGGAAGAAGTTGGCAGTGTGAAGAACAGCAAGAAGCACTGTATCCATGAAGAGATTTATTAGTCCCTGTACCATGTCCACACTCTGTACTGTGTGTGTACACACACAGACTGTATCTGTGCAGTCAGAATACATGAAAGGAATTTGGAAATGGTCACCATCTGGTATCAGAGGATTACTGAATACTCTCATTTTATCTAGGAAGTTGTAAAAGGGAGAATGTGGTAGGTCTAGTGTGTGTTAAAAAAGCAGAAGTTAAGCAGATGTTTACGAACCTCAGTGGCAATTTTTTTTTTCACTGTGATGACACTTGCTTAGGATAGTTAATAACTGGGTCAGTTGAATCAGGAACTCAGTTTTGAACAGGTCAAGCTTAGGAAAATAATGCAAGTTCAGAGGTGAAATGTGTGGTGATCTATTAGTAACAATTTATTCACAGGAAGGATGCCAGTGAACATTAGCAAACAGATGACAAACACGAGACTTTCCATATGAAATGGAAAAATTGTAGAGTATATCTTCTCCCATCAGTGCTCTTCCGTCCTCACCACCAAAAAAATCCTATTAATGTAGAAAAGGAAAGAATGAGAGGAAGCTTACAAGAAATTTTGTACATTTTTCTTAGTTTGAGAAGACACTAAAAGAAAATGATGATTGACAAAGTTATCTGTAACATCACTGCCAGCTAAAATGAAAGCATCAAACTGGATATGGCTTCCCTGTTCTTCAAGTTTACCTTTGATGTTTTAGAGGAGAGGGATTTAAGACAAAATAACAAAGAAAAAGAACATATAAAGGTCTCTGCACGAAATAATAGTTCTGCTAATAATGTACAGGTATGTATTCTAGATTTATGAGAGGTGAATTACCAGAAAAAAAACCGAGTAGGGCTCTCTATAACTGATGTCTACTCTCAGTTCTGGATAGAACCTTGAGATACAGCATTTGAAGCTCTTCAAAGATTAATTCTGGGCCTATAATAAAGAACAAACAGTTACTGCCACCTTTAGATACATATTAGAAATGCATTTGCTTTTAAGCTTTGTCCTACCTATATGCTTTGGTTTTTAATAGTTGTTCTGCTGAATTAATCAAAATGTTCTTTGATGACATCTTTGCCTCTGTAACCTTTTCTATAGGACAGTTAGCAGGAGTTATTAATGGAACATTCTTTTTTCCTCCAAGAACGTATTGCCAGTGCAAGAATGGTAATGAGTACTTTTCCCATACAGTGTTGACTCATTTTGGCTTACTACATATGAGACCTGGTAAGCATACGGTGGTGTTTACTGTACTGAGCAAGATTAATGACTGACTAAAGGAGATGAACGAAAAATTGCGTTAGAAATTGCTCTGAGCATCCTGATCTAGTGGGCGGCATTGCTCTTTGTTGCAGGGTAGTTGAAACTAGGTGATCCTTAATGTCCCTTCCAACCCAGGCCATTCTGTGATTCTATGAGTTTGGATGGGAAGAAAGACAATTGCTCTCCCTCTGTCCTGTCAAATACCTGGTAGTTGGTTGTTCATTTCAGTTCTTACCTGACAGACATTGAAAAAAGTGTATTATTGAACATACTATTCTTACAGACTTTCACTTGTAAATTAATTCTGATGCAAATGAATTTGACCCCAAAAAAAAAAGATTTTGTCAGTCTAGAGGTTGAATATTAGAAATTAATTTTCTGCTGCTGAAGACTATTTCAGATGCTTGCTTTTGTGCCCTGGATATTCATGTCAAGATTATTCTGCTTTGCAATTTTTTTTTTATTTAACTGGTTGTATTTTAGTTATCTTAAGCATAAAAGCCTTTTAGTTATCTTAAGCATAAAAGCCATGTGTTAAGATCACAATAGATGACAATAGTTAAATGCTTTTTCCATAGAGATATTGCATATAATCAGAGCTCTAAATTAACTTTCTAAAATTGGAATCTTGTAAGAAAAAAAGTACATTATGTTCTTGTAAAATCTGTAGGGGTACATAAAATGAGAAGGGACTTTGTAAAGGTTGGTTCCTTTTTTGATATGTACAACTGAGACAAGATAATGTAGAAAGCATTAAGCAACATATTTGCTTGCCTTTTCTGAAGAATGAAGGTCTAAGTGAGGCATTCCCATCAAGATGCAGAATGTTGCTGTTTGCCATAGTAGTGGGAATTTTTTTTTTTGCATCAAGTTGTTTGATTTTGATGTTTACAGAGCCAAATTGGAGTTCTGTGCTTTGTTGTAATTACTGATTTTATAAGTTCCTGGTTGGTTAGACTTTCATTAAGTATAAATATTATTATTGAAAATATTACCTAAGTTAGCGTTAATTTACAAATGTATTAGATTAGAATTTAAAGTTTTCAGGTTTAAGTAAATTCCTCAGTTTGGAAAGCAAGTAAAGGTTATGGTAATATGAAATTGATCCTAATTAGATATTTCCTTAATTTATAGCCAATATGCAGTATACAGTAATATCCTGTCCCGGCATCAGTGCCAGTATTTAGGAACATTAACGGGAGAAGAAAAGTTTTTCTGAAAGACATTTGTGACCTGTCCGTTCGGCTCATAATCCTTGTGCTATATATTCTCCAGACATTATTTATTAATTTGTAATTTCAGTAATTTTAACTAAACTTTAAACTTCAGTACTGTGGTTTGGAGGCAGGAAGGCAGGAATGTTAATACCATATAGTGATGTTGAAGCCTAGAAGAAACCAAAGTATGTGAATATAGTTGGCTTGAAAAGCTATAGATAACATTTTTTTTTAAAGACAATAAACCCTTATTGTATGAAAATCCTTGCTTCAGTGTGTTGCTTATGTAAAAAAAAAAAAAGCAAAACTTAAAATATTAGCTATCTAAATATATGACTATAATAATTTTTTTAATGAGTAAAGATTCGAAGTAATCTGTTATTCTCTTGTCCTTCTGATAAACAAACAAACTAGTAATTATTGAGGCTTAGAGGATGACTTCCTGTAGTTAACTCTAGTTTGCCTGTTGCAGTCCCTTTGAGAAGGTTTTAATACATGCAGCCAGCCAGACCCCTAGTCTGCTCCCTTGTGGCAATTCTATTTACTTCTCTCCTCTGTAAATAAAATACAGTTGGTTTATAATGCAGTTCTAATGAACTGCTGTCCTATTTGTATTACCTTTGTGTATTTTCACTGTGTTTCTGCCATGGTAATTTTTTTCCTAGCAAATTGCATTTAAACTGAATGTATTGTTAATTGTGGCTTGAAAGTTACTGCACTGTCAGGTTTGGTGCATTACAGTTCTGCTTGAAAAAGTGCTTTTGTGGATGAAAGCGAACTACCCGTAAAAATAAACTTAATAGAGAAGTCAGTTTCTGCATGTCATTCATGCTATGAATCTGATTCCAGGAGGCAGCACAGTGTCACAGTGATACCTATGGCAAGGAAAACTTGCCCAGGCGGGTCCCATGTTGCTTTACAGTGAATGAATGCTAGAGATCACATCCTCCAGCTGTAAAGTTACTGTAGTTAAGATGAACTGCAACTGCCTGGACTCATAAACTAATGATGATATTGATAAGAACTTTGCAACATCTTTCAAATGTTCATTGCAGGTAGCTGATAATTGCTGTGCTTCTATAAAGAAAGTTGCTGATAAGTAAGCTGAGGAAAAGTTAATGTTTCCCTTCTTTACTGATTGATTGGTCTAAGCACACCTGAGTTATGACATATTCACTTTGTTATTCCTGTAACCCCACCTCAAGGACTTACTGAGGTGCTTCTTACCTAGAGGTGAAATTTGTCTTGATTGTAATTTATGATCATGGTGGCAAAGCTATTTACTACCAGTTTTACCCTGATTTGTTTCACTGAGGTATTTTCTACTATTTCACCTTGCCTAGCTTAATTAGTTCAGTGTTTTTAATAGATTTTGAAAGTATAAGTCTGATTTACACATACTCAATATTTTTATACGTATACAGATATGTTTTTGCATGGATAAAACATAGGTTTGGTTTCAAATATATATTTTACAGCATTTTGGAATTCATCAGTTCTTGCTTAAAATGAGATGGATGCTAGTTCTGTTTTGTGCTGCTGTGCATTAATTGATTGGTGAAAGTTATCTTCTGGTCACCTTTGTGTGTAACCATGCAAGACCAGCCAGAGTTCTTTGTATTTGTATTATATACAAAGTCTTTTCTATCTTGGATCTTCAGATATTAAGTTTTTCCAAAAGATGCAGATTTCTGTTCATTTGACCTGTATTTGGGATAATAATCTTGACTGTAACTATTTGTCAGTAATATAAGCACTAATGACAGAATCACAGAATTGTTAGGTTTGGAAGGGACCTCTAGAGATCATCTAATTCAACCCTCCCATCTAGTATTAACCATCACCATTGAATGTTATTTAATATTGATTTTGTCAGGATGTATCTATAAGAAAATATTTGCTTAAAAAGAATATATTTGCTGAAAATGCAGTAAAAGTAACAACATAAACCACAGCCCTTGCACCCCCCAAAGATTAACAACATTTTGAGCAAAGTAATGATCAGAGAAAAATTCCTACAATAAAATGAAGCAAAGATATGTTAAAATAATTTTTCTAATTTTACTGCTTGAAATTTGAATCAGTCATTAGTTTAGCTGTTCAAAAGTATGAATAATTTACTTGATATCATTGCTGTGAGTACTGAATAAAACAAAAGAAAATCTCAGTAGATCAGGAGGTATTCTCATTATCAAGATATCTCATCAATGAAAAACTCTTTTTTGTTTTACTCTAATGGCCCCTTATGGTATTTAATGTCACTATTTAAAATACAAGGTCAATAGCATCAGAGATAACACAAGAAAGCTTGTCCTACTTAACTGTCCATAGAAGAGATTTTTATAGTCCCTTGCAGAACTATAACAAGGGTTCCTTTTTTTGTAATACAGCTCTTCCTAGATCTAAGATTTTGCAAGCCACTCTGAGAAATGTTAATGCACTTTGCTTGCTAAGTTATAAAAATACTGAACTGTTGGACCCCTAAGGTAATTAACTTACTTTGTTGTGGTTTTTGGTTTGTTTTTTTTTAAGACCTCATCTTCACAACTTAATTAAATTTTATTTCCTGTGCTCTGAAGAAGTCATTCTGTTCATGTGCTGCTTTCAGATTTTGGTCAGCTAGTTGTCTGCTGTGTTTCATGCTAGTTGACTTTCTTTAATTTCTATGTTTCTGGTTTGGATGTGTTGAAATAGGGGAGTTAAAACAGCTGCGATCATCCAGATGCATGTATTTGATATCCTGGAGATAATACTTTGACCAGTAGGGACAATTCTTTCTTAGAGAAGTTTGTGAAAATAATTCAATCAAAATGATATGTGTAAAGATACCCTTCGTCTCAAGAAATCCCCAAAGCCACAAATAGCTGGAGACTTGGAAAATATACTAGATAAATATCCTTATATATGCTTTAAAACTTTTTTGAAAGCATCTGCTTATTCTTGTAATTTTCTTAATTGTCCACTGATATTTGTTAACCTGTTCAGGAGTTTTCTCTGAAACATAATGAACATTCAAAATCTATTTAGCCTAGTATTTTGTCTTTTATAGCGTTGTCGTGGTTTGGGAATGGTATTCCCCAATTTAGTGCACTCACTTCTCCTCCCCCTCCAGCTGAAAACAGAAAAGGCAAAGATTACGGTTGAAATAAGAACAATTTACTGAAAACAGCAATGAGATAAGAAAACTAACAATAACAAAAACAATATTAATAACAGAAGTTTACAAAGAGAGGGTGATTTACATGCAAAATGCTCACCAAGCCTGGGACAATGGAGAACAATGGTGGACAGACCCCCTCTGCCTTCCACCGGAAAGAAATACCCTTTCTTCCTGGAAGCAAGAGAGTCCCTTTTCCCTGCCCCTGGCAATGACAAAAGATGGTATCAAATAACATTAGGGTCTGGGCCACCTCCACACAGCTCCAGGCTCCGCCCCCTCATGGCTACTGCAAAAAATTAACCCTGTGCTTGACCAAAACCAGGACAAGCAGTGATTACCTTAATTCATTATTTGCTGAATAAAATTACCAGCATTTACCAGGTTAAAAGCAGCAGTGTGCCCAGATGGCCAAGAAGGCCAATGGCATCCTGGCCTGTATCAGGAATATCAGGAAAATATAATAAAATGTCTCATTGTGACTGGTGTGAGCTGCCATATAGGTACCTTTGGTAGTTTTCTCCCGTCTACTATTACTTTTTAAAAAAGTAACAAATGAGTTTAATATCAAGGAACTACTGTGGATCTTCACTATGCAGTAATTATGGGTAGGTGGTTTTCAAAACCTTTTATGAAAACCAGGATGTAGTTGAAAAAAAAAAAAGTTTATAATTTCAAAAAGAGGGGGGAAAAAAAACCAAAACCCAAACAAGAAAAACAGCCCCATTCGCGCCCCAAGGGAAAAAAACCCTCCAAACAACAACCCAAACCATTTCAAGACATGAAAATGACTAGTAATTTATATCAAGCCTGGAATTTTAAATTAATTCTTGACATTGACAACTTTGCTGAGCAAAGCGGGACAGTCCACTCCCTCGACTGGCCTGGTGATGCTTTGCCTGATGCTCCCAGGACATGGTTGGCCCTCCTGGCAGCCAGGGCACCACTGGCTCAGATTTAACTTGACATTGACCAGGACCTTTCCACAACGCTCCTCTGCACAGAGGAGACTGTTCCTCTGCAGACTGTTCCCCAGTCTGCACATACATCCACAGTTGCCCCACCCCAGATGCAGAATCCAGCACTTGTTTTTGTTAAACATATGGTTGGTGATGGCTAGGTCTTTCTGCAGGGCCTCTATGCTTTCAAGTGAATCAACAGCTTCTCCCAATTTAATACCATCTGCAAACTTACTTAGTATACATTCAAGTCCTACATCATTTATGAAGACATTGAAAATGGAGCCCTGAGGAACCCCACTAGTGATAGATCACTAGCCTGATGTTCCCCTGTTCACTATTACCCTTTGCACCTGACTTGTGAGCCAGTTGCTCATCCATTGCATGACGTGTTTATCCGGCTGTGTGCTGGACATTTTGTCCAGGATACCGTGAGAGACAGTATTGAAAGCTTTACTGAAATCCATAAAAATTCCATGAACATAGAGAAAAGTTCTCAGGATATTTTGAATCACAGTAGTTACCTCCTGAAAAACAGCTTAAAAGTTTTGCAGGTTGTAGATGATTTATTCATAGGAATGATTGTCTAATACATCCAGTAAAAGTGTTGCTATTCTTGCAGTGATACTAGTATAAGGATGAGGCATAGTCAGTCATACCAGCAACCACCTACACATGCTCTAGAAATACACTGATGAAATTCCATGGACTACTGACGTGTGGATTTCTGTGTTGCTCATAGATTAGAATGGATTTTTTTTATTGTTTTATGGACATTTCACTGGAAAAGATTGTCCAAAAGCAGTTCTTCAGAACAGTCTCAGAATAGCAAGTCACTGCCCATAGGAAAATACAGCATATCTTACCTGTGGAGAACACAGTGTTGTGTTAACTAGAGAGAAAAACAATTACTATCATTGTGCCATGCTTTGAAGTTTCTTCTTCTGTGCTGAAAATAGTGTGAAGAAATAGATACCAGTCTTTGGCCACAAATCCACAAATATTTTCAGGAGTATAGAGAATATTTTTGTTCTGTTTCCTATTGACATTGACAGAAGATCAGAAATGTGTTAAATTCTACTTCCCAGCACATTTTAAGACTTAGAAAAATGCTTAGTCTTTTAAGGCTCTCCATGTAGCCTACTTCTTTTGAATTCAGCAAAAGCTTTTTGGTCTTGTAAAGCAACAACAGAGTTAATTCAGTGTTGGGAGCTTTGAAAAATCTTATCCTGGAAAACTAACACTGTACAAGAGGCTAAAGCCGTTAGATCACACCACCAAAAAAGGGAAACTATTTCCAGTGCAGTGTTGCCCAGAACATGTGTTTATTGGAAAAGCTGCCTGAACAGAAGCCAAAGTAATCTCCTAAAAAACCTGCCTTTAAACAACCAAATTACGAACAAAATAGCAATTGACTGAAAAATTTTAAAGTAAGAAAGTGAACAGTATATTAAGTTGTTTAGTTTTATTATCAAACTCCTCAGTGTCTGAAGACAGACCACTTGAAAAGATTAATTTCTGTTTCTGCAAAGTTCCGGCTCACAGTATTGTTAGATATTAATCTCCTCAACATTAATGCCAGCTGTTATATTCCTTTGCTAAATCCAGCCTCTTTGTTCCATGCAACAATAGAAAAAAACTCCAAACCTATAGCTGCTCCACATCCTATACATCCATTATTTTTAATTGCTGATGTGAAAAAAGTGACAGTATTGGTATATACGAAGTCAGGGTGCTTTTTTATTGGTATTTTTCAGATTGACTCATCATCTGTGAGTCACTGTGTGTAGGTTCTTGAGTCCCTCCCTCACCTGCATAGTTTAGTACTGGTTGTGTTTTAGTTTAATAAAGTTTTAAGGCAATTTTCTTTATCTCAGGAATTCCTGCATGTGCAGCTTGTACTGTTATTCCACAGGCTACTTAGGGCAACCTTCAGTTTCACTATTCATTGTTTGTTTGCTGTTTCTAAGGAAAGGATTATTATTTGTAAAATGGATCTGAATGGGTCTTTTGTTCTTCTTTTTTCTAATGAAACTGTGTGCTGGTTTTGGCTGGGATAGAGGTAATTTTCTTCACGGTGGCTACTATGGAGCTGTGTTTTGGATTTATGCTGAACATAGAGTTGATAATGTAGAAATGTTTTTGTTATTGCTAAACAGGGCTTACACAGAGCTAAGGCCTTTTCTGCTTCTTTTACTGCCAGGCTAGCAAGGAAGTTGAACAAACCTCCTGAAAGGAGGTGCCGTGCCTATGGTGAGAGGAGCAAAGGAAATGACCTTAAGTGAGACAGAGGAGATTCAGATTAGATATTAGAAAAAATGTTTTCACTGTTAGGGTAGTCAGGCATTGGAGTAGGTTGCCCAGGGAGGTGGTGAAGTCACCATCCCTGGAGGTGTTTAAAAGGTGTCTGGATCTGGCGATGAGTGACGTGGTTTAGGAGTTACAGTGGTAGTGCTGGTCTGATGATTGGACTTGATAATCTTGAAGGTCTCTTCCAACCTTGTTGATTCCATGATTCTAAAGGCTCTGTGCTATTACAATATTTAAAGCTGTTTAGAAAACTGACAACAACGTGTCTAGTGTTTAATACTGTTATCTGTATTGAGTTTCTGGCACTTGCAGTGCCTTTCTGTATGTCTAGACAACAAATTTCCAGGTAACAAATTCCTTGTAAGTTAGATTAAGTTTTAAATGACACCAGGTAGCTACTATATTGTGAAAAGCTTAATTTTCACTAGTCCTTTCACTGGAAAGATTAAAGGATAAGGCACAATAACTTAATTTTATTTTTTTTGTCCTACATGTATTTTAATGTGTACCAGTTCATACTAATAACATGTAACTTTTTCTAAGGAGTTTTCAGTTTGTACTGAAAGGATAAATGTGGAGGAGAAATGCAGTTCTGTTGAAAACTTGAAAAAACTGCTACACTGTGTAGCAGTAGAAGAAGAAACAGAGAAACTGCAAAGTTAATTTGAATGGTAAAGCTAAAGTTTAATTTAGAAGATATTGAACCTTGATGGGCCTTGAAATACAAACATTAAAGTAAAGTATGTTGTCATAGGAAACATGGCCAATGGTCCATGGGCTAAAGGTAGATAGGTTAGAACAGCATAAAATAACAGTAGTGGTAGTGTCTGGGGTTAACTTGTAAATGAAATATTATTAAAATAATTATAATATGGAAAAAAAATATTGATTTCATACAGACAAGTCCTGCAGTGTCACTCGTATTCTCTAGAGAAACAGTGCAACTTCCAAAGAAAGTTAATCTGTGTTGTGAAGAAGCTGTGTGCACTTGTGAACAATTTCATTGATCTAGTAGAATAGCTTCCTGATGAAATGATGTATGAACGTAAGGCTTAAAAGGTAATGCATACCTAAGTTATGTCGACTTTTTCCATATATTCCCTAGGTATTATGTTGCTTTGTGGTACTTGTTTATAATTTACTAATAATGCAGTTTGAGTGAGAAAACAGCAATTTATCCCATTACCCAAAATGCAGCTAGATCGTAAGTTAGCAGATGGCACATCATCTCTAGAACATTATTAAATTAATTGTATTTAATACAAGCATATATATACTTGAGTTCTCTGATGATTTCTTTTGATGTTGCAGGAAACAGCATACTCCATTCCGCAGCAGACAGTGTGACAAGTGCAGTACAGAAGGCAAGCCAGGCCTTGAATGAACGTGGTGAAAGGCTAGGTCGTGCAGAAGAAAAGACAGAGGAGCTGAAAAACAGTGCTCAGCAGTTTGCAGAAACTGCACATAAGGTAAGATTTTGTCAGGATAAAATTCTCAGTAGGTTAGAGTCACACACTGTTTTGAGAAGAGAAAGAATTCATTCAGTCACTGTTTACAAACAGCTTGCTGTTTTCCTTGACAGTTTCTCACCTGGCAAATTTCTAGTTAATACGTTCCTTTGTGCCTAGATATAAGATTTGCTGCATATCCACTTGAATTGAAACTACCTGTCTTCACCTTCAATAGTACTGTTTGGTACTATTCCTCATATTTTGTGCAGTAATACAGTGAAATTGTTGCTAATCCCCTTTGATAAGCAACATAGGTCTATGACTACCTGTTTCTGAAAATGTATTTTTTTATGTATGGATATCTTATTCATGAGGATTTTAAGGAATTGTTCTCTGGGGAATGGATGTACATTTCCTACTTTTGATGAAAGACATTGATAGTACTTTATGCAAATGAAAAAACATGCCGAGCTTCCATGTTTGTGC